TAACACGGCTACCCCTCTGATACTTGACACTATGAACTCTGTCATCTCGTATAGTGTGAGTGACAATTTTTTATCGTTCACTAGGCTAAGAGGGGTGAGTCAGAATAGCACACGTTGCAGTCAGAAATGGTAGCAAGCTGGAATCTGGCTCTAAATAGCCAAATGCCCTATCTTCTCAGGTGGGCTGACAACACTGCTAGGCATTTCATAAAAACCCTTGGTGTCATGAAGAGCCCAAATGGCAATGAAGTGTACTTGCAATGATGTGATCCTATCAGGAATGTCATGTGTTTTCAGCAGACCAGTTGGACGACTATATGAAAATACATGTATCGTAAGACAAGTGACACAAACTAGTCCTGAGACTGTAGTGAAGGAGGCGAGCACTACCATTCAGAATCTGAGGCAATGAATGTATTTGTTTGGTGTTCTCAGCTCTAGAATAGGACAAAAATCTCCTTTCGTCTTCAGGAAAAAAATAGCAGTGGTCTTTTCTGTACTCCTTAGGAACATCCCAGATGAATCAATAAGGCCACTTCTTGTTAAAATAGTTTATTGTAAGAAGGGTCTCTAAAGATTTAGGCAAAGGGATTAGGTAGGGAGAAGGATATGGAAAATACTGGAACATCCATAGGCAACCTCTATTCAAACAATAATTGTCTAAGGAGGTATTGGACCAAGCCTGATGGAAATGGGCAATACAGACACCAAAGACTGGTTCCCAACTGGCTGAAAGGCAAATATGGGTGACACAGGAAATAGATACTAAATGTCTCTTTCAGTACGATGTCTCAATAAACATCTTGGCTCCTGTTCCCATGCCCAGTGGCCCCAATGCTGAGGATCATGACAGTTTTATTAGGGCATACTTTGGTCCCATAATTGGAGCAAGCAGATCAAGACATGTCAACCTACTTTGCACACTCCTTTGACACTGAATGTAGACACCGATCCTTTTCCATTCTCAGAGGTGGTGCCTTTTTATGCCTGGAGTAATGTCCAGTTTCCATTCCGTGCTGAATGCCATGGTGCCAGGATGGTCAGCATCAGTCTAACCAATAATCAATTTCAACAGAGTTTTCTTCCCTGACTTGTTTTTGCTGCTGTACCCTAACTAAACTGGCACCCAGTGAGGTCATCCTCATGGACATCTCATTTGTTTCCTTGGAGGCACATGTCTCCTCTGGGCCTGAAGTGATACATATCAATTGTACCAGGAGATGATGTTTCAGTTGCACATCCCTCAACATGCAGCCTTTGCCAAGAGAAATTTACACACCAACCATTGGAAACCAAAAATGTAGACACCGTGCAGATTTAAGCAGGAGGGTTTATTACGCACAGCACTGGCGGAGTGTCACCTTGCCACTTGGGCTCAGAGAGCACTGCTAAGCAATTGATTAGAATAGATTATATAAAGAGCTAATGAATGGAGAGCAGCAATGGGGAGAGAGTTTCCAAGCCCCTGGATAGGTTTTAGCAGCAAGACATACGAGCACGGTAAAACAATAGTTTAATTGATTACATAGTAGCTTTGCCCATAGCTCAAGTTAACTTTTCATGGAGGCAACACTCTGATGGACAGAAAAAGTATTTGATGGGCCCATCAACCAGAAAAGAGCCCATCCTCAGTCTCACAGCACTTAAACCCAAAAGGTTAAGAGTCCACTATGAAGGCTGTTGCAAGGCACCTTTCTCTCCTTCACAAAGGGGATATATTTCTGTTTAGATTGGGGTTTAAAGAATCCAAATTTTAAAAAATAGCAAAAGTACAATAAGCAAAGTATTTCCTCACAGTCTAATCTAGGAGCTGAGTTTGAACCTCGGAGAAAAATGACAGGTGGGACACTCCACAGGTTTCATATCTCTGACATGGATGGTATGAGGAAACTAAGGGAAAGTTTAACATGCTCTGTTCTTTATGCCCTCATTCAGACAATGAGCAGCCCCAATGAATACTATTTTTTTTAAAAAAATCCAATCTCCCGGGCACAAGGCACATACGCAACTACACTGGAATCCAGACTGAAACATACTTCAAGGAAAACCTCCCTGCCAGTGATCTAGCCCACATACTGCCACAAACCTCCCTGCCACATATCTAGCCCATATAAGTATTACATAACAAGCATAGAGCAACAAGGCATATGATCATTGTTATATGAACTAGAAAACCATTCGTTTCCAGGATGCCTTTCAGTATTTATTCTACCTCCTTGTTTCTTTTTAATTCTGTGACCTTTTCCTTCCCAAACTAGCCAGAGTCAATATAAGTCCTTAGGCAGCATGCATATAAAAGCAGCCATACTGGGTCAGAACAAAGGTCCATCTAGCCCAGTATCCTATCTTCCAACAGTGGCCATCATCAGATGCCTCAGAGGGAGTGAGCAGAATAGGGAATCATCAAGTAATCCTTCTCCTGTCACCCCTTCCCAGCCTCTGACAGAGCTAGGGACACCATTCCTACCCATCCTGGCTAATAAGTATTAATAGACCTATTCTCCATGAATTTATCTAGTTCTTTCTTGAACCCTTTTCAAGTCCAGGTCTTCACAACTTCCTCTGGCAAGGAGTTCCACAGGCTGACCATGTGCAGTGTGAAGAAAAACTTGCTTTTGTTTGTTTTAAACCTGCTACCTATGAGCTCCCCACTGCCTGCCTACTACAAGTTACTTGTATTTGAGTGACATCTACAGGCCCTAACCAAGAGTGAAAACTCACAGAGCAAGATGCTATACATACACAGTCATGGCCCAGAAGATATTACAATTAAAATAGCCATGGCAGGCAAAAGATGGAGGAGGAAAAGGAATTTTATCCCCATTTTACAAAGGAGCAAATAAAGTATAAGGGGGTTTCTCCACAACCACATAGAAAGTCTGTGTCACAAAAAGGAACCTAATCCAGATTTCCTGCGCCTTAACCTCAAGGCCATCACTCCTCTCACCTGTTTTTCTTCCTCTCTCATTTTCCCAAAAAATTGTAAGTTTGTTGTTTTTTCTGCTTGTTGGTTGTTTTTCCTGCTACAAGAATTTTGCTACTACCACTGCAAGTACATCAAACCACTACAGGTTTATGTGACTTCATACTCCTGTTCTCAGTCCAGCTTTCACACAGACACTTATTTGTCTGTATTTTCAGAAGTTTTTTAATCTTCATAGGTCTCATGTCAATGACTCACATCTCCAACTTGCTGTCAAACCCTTTCCTATTCAACATGTACTTTTAATTCTGAGTCTCTATTTTCAAGTCAAAATCTTCTCAAATTTCACTGCTTCCTATGGCATGAACCTTACTTATAAGTTATTACTGTAGTTTTGAAATTTGCAGTTTCATCCTGGTATTAATTCTGCACAGTCTTATTGATTTTATTTACTCAGTACATACAAAATCCAGGCCTCTCAACAACTAGCACGAAAGACATATTGGGGACATTCCCAGGAACTTGATGACTTAGTCCTTTTATTAAATGTCAGTGGTTTAGGAGAATCTATATTACCCAATTACCAACTATCCCCCTCACTTGCTGGGAAAGTAGAGGAAAAAGTTCTTGAGATGTGGTTGGACAGTTGAGGACAGATGCTTCTGAGATCTTAGCCAGCACGAGCAATGGTGGTGCCCCATCTGTAACAACAGCCTCATGTACGAATAGGGCTTGGGCAGAGTTAGGAGGCACTTAGTTCCCACCAATCGTATTTGCACATTGCAAACTGGCAGCAAGAAGGGAAGGGTTTTACCTTCTTCAGAGAGACAGGAGATTTGGCCAGTGGGGAAATATTACAATACTGACACTTATTTGTCACAACAAAACAGCACATTTCTAGTACAGGTTAACCGAGTCAGCAGAAAATCATGAAAGGAACCCCCTACTATGCAACACAAGGAGGGTTTCGATGTCTGGTGCAGAAAGAAGGACCCTTCGCTTAAACCTTCACCCACTGCAGGAGGAAAAGGTGTGGAGGGGGAAGGAAATCTGCAGCTTTCTTGGTCTTGATCCCCAGATTTTGCAGGAGGGGATTAAAGATAGTAAATCCTTCATGCTGCCTTTGCTTTTGCAGTCATTTGTTTGGGAATTGTTCTTCACTTATCCTACCACAGAGCTTGTGTGCGCAGAAGAGGCCAGGCTGTTCCTTCCCTACTTCTGTTACATCATAATTAATACAAATCACAGCCTCTGAACAGGATATTTGATTCACCACTGAATACATGGTGTCTAAGCCACTGACAATGCATTAAAAGTTGTGCTGAATACTTGATATTTCAATGTCACTTTTCATGTATATTGTTCACATAAATACCAAGGGGACAGAAATACCTTAGAAATACTTTAGAGATGTTACTTAAATGCCTTTGTTTTGTTAAAGATTTTGAATATGACATTTAAGGCCCTTCAGTCCAGAATGCTTTTCTAGCTGTACACACTCCATTCACACATCAAGGACCAAGGTCACTTTCTAGCTTGTCTCCAGTCCGTTATATTTTATATGATAATTCTAAATGCTAGGCTTTTTGCCAATATTGTCCCATTGTACAGTCTTTCTTCAAGAGATTTGTTTTGCTGACTAGAGCCGGCCCAAGCTACGGGCTGACCAGGCTACCGCCCAGGGCGCCCCATTGTAGGGGGCACTGCACAGGGCTGCCGGGCCAGGCAGGGGGCAGCACTGCGCATGCTCCGTGCACCCGGGGTGGTGCCACGCATGTACCAGGCACCTGGGGTGGGGCCACGCATGCGCCAGGCACCCGAGGTGGGGCCGCGCACCCAGGGGCAGGGCCACGTATACATTGCACTCCCAGGGGTGGCACTGCGCTCCCGGGGCGCATGAATGGCTCAGGCTGGCCCTCTTGCTGACTTATTCTTCCATCTTAAATCAAAGCTTACATTTCATTTTTCTTGCTACCAACCTCCTTAATTCTTTTTATTTCTGCAAGCCATTTTATTAAGCATACAGCTTCAGTGCATGGGAAAAGCTCTTTCTTATATTTACAACAAAGTTAAGTACCTCCGGCCCTGTGATATGCATAAGACCAGAAACAGCTGCTGCAACAGAGTCATAACCTGCTCGCTGAAACGCTGGACCAGTCTGACCATAACCTAAAAAAAGAAAGAATTATTTTAAATGCAATCCATGACACATACCATGGAGATACAGTTTAGTACTTACTTATGGAAGGAAAATATTGATAAAATAAAATTTCTCATCAGTTTATATGCATATGTTGCCTAGGTTATCCAGATAAGAAACAAACAAATACTGCAATCTTATATTTACATGTGCTTCCTTATATAAAATAGTGGTTTCTATTCTGTGGCTTAATAATGTATCTTCATAGGTCTTGAATGATAGAATTTTTTAACTATATGGTGAAATTCTGGCCACATTTAATTTACTAGTAACAGTCCTATGCTATTCACTATGGGCCTAATTCTTCCATCCTTACCTCACAGCAGTACTTTGCCCCCACCTGATTTCACTGAGGCTGTATCTACACTGGGCCACTTATTCCGGAAAATCAGCCACTTGAAAATCAGCCGCTTTTCTGGAATAAGCTGCGAGCTGTCTACACTGGCCTTTGAATTTCCGGAAAAGCAACGATGCTCTACTGTACAAAATCAGCCGCTATTCCGGAAAAGCTACGCTGCTCCCGCTCGGGCATAAGTCCTTATTCCAGAACACTGTTCCGGAAAAGGGCCAGTGTAGACAGCCCAGTAGTCTTTTCCGGAAAAAAGCCCCGATCGCAAAAATGACGATCGGGGCTCTTTTCCGGAAAAGCGTGTCTACATTGGCCACAGATGCTTTTCCGGAAAAAGGGCTTTTCCTGAAAAGCAGCCTGCCAATGTAGATGCTCTTTTTCCGGAAATACTTATAACGAAAACTATTCTGTTTTAAGCATTTCTGGAAATTCATGCCAGTGTAGACACAGCCTGAGTGACTCACAGAGTATACTATTTGATGTGATTAAGGCTGAAACAAAACTGACCCTTTAGTAAGAAAATCTACTGTTTATTGTCACAATGAGTTAAAGATGGTTGACATTTTTTGGAGTTTTGATGGGAAACTATTTTTCCTAAGCCCTACAAATAATTATAAATAATTTATGAACACTTCGGTATTACAGGTTAGACCTTCCTGGTCCAATACCCTCAGGACCTGACAGGTTCCAGGCAAGGGAGGAGGTCAGGGCTCTCCCAGGAGCACTAGCCTCCTGGCTGGCTCCTTCCTGCTGTCACCCTGTTCCTGGCCTCCGGCAGCTGCCAGCAAGACTGTGCTCCCAGCCCAGGGACTGCTGAACTAACCAAGCTGCAATCCCTACTCCTGGCGGCTGCCAGGATGGCTGGGATGCTGGCTGGGCTCCACTTCCAGTCCCAACCAGCAGTCTGTGGTCCAGGGTTCTCTGGCCCAGCAACATCCATGGTCCTGCTGGACCACAGCTATTACAGGACCAGTGTTTCCCAGACTAGAGAGTTTCAACCTGTACTTCTCTTTAGAAGCAGCAGAGAAAAGATACTTGGCTCAGCTTCCCACATAAATTCCTCTTTCCACAATCACAGAATCTATACCTCAAATAAGCTTGTTGCACACCAATTATCCACGAGAACCTTGCTGCCATGCACCAAACATTCCCGTGTGCACCCTGCTGCCTTATGCTAAACACTCCCTAGCGCACTTTTTATCTATTCCAGTTTCCAAGCAAGTTAGATCAAAGTGCAGTAGGAAATATTTAGCGTAAGGCAGCAGGGTGCACACAGGCAGCTGTTGAGCAGCAGAATGGTGTGAAGTAAAATTGACGATCTGTTTGACTAACCAAGCTCTTCCAGGGATAGCACATCTAAAGACTATCTTTATCTGCTATTTCATTCTTTCAGAACAGACCTCACTATCATGCGAGGCACTGGAAGGGAAGCATTTATTATAGGCAGGGTGGAAGCACTGCCCATTAAAGTTGCTTGACACTTCCCATTATCTCACCTTCTTTCTGTTTTACCATTCATTATGATTATATACTACTAGCAGATTTACGCAATGTTGCTCGGTCATTATTATTTTTTGTTTTTCTTCATTTAAATCAATGCTCTGAGGTAGGGTTGGGGATGAGGGGCTCAGTATGCAGCCTGCCCTGTGGAGAGAGCGTTACCCAAACCCCTCTCACCACAACAGCATGGAGCCAGGTGAAAAGCGCCTGTCCATAGCTGCTGCAGCTTCAGTGACGACAGCTGGGGAAAGGGTGCATGTTCCGCAGCCAGGACGTTCACTTGCCCCCTGTGCACACCAGCCAGAGTGAGGATGGCAGCAAACTGTGCACTTTCCCTTCACTTCTTGACCCAGGGGAATAGACAACAATGTTCCCACACAAATCAGGGGCTGAGGGGGAGCTACAGCCTCCCACACTCTAAAGGGCACCTGGGCGGTGGGAGGCTCTGGTCTTGGGCAGTTCTGGACTGGGAGGTGGGGGGGCTCCCCAGCCAGCCACTTCAACTTGCCTGGTGATTCTGTCTCTCTTCTGTATGATTTTACGAGAATCATTTCATTCTTGCCATAACCAAACCAAGCTATGATAAGAGGAAGCAGTATACCGAATTTGATGGTCCCAACTCTTACCATTAAGAGAAGTTCTTGAACAGAGAGACTCTCACACAGACATACTCTCTCAAATATATAGTAGATTGTTAGAATAGAACACAATGAGGTATCTCTGTTGCTGCAAGACAAATGCATCCTTTTAAATGCCCACAATTCTGCCTTTTACACCTACATTTTTAGGTGCCAGGCCAAGGGTCTTTACAAATTGAATCTGTATGTAATACATTTATAGTTCTAACAATAATAATAATAAAAAAAAAATCACACGCACACATCATCCCAACCAACATAGTAATCGTGGTGCAAAAACTATGACTATGTCTACACTGCCCAGTCTTGCACAAGAACATGTGCAAATGAGGTGCGGCGATAAAAATCGCCATGTCTCATTTGCAAACTTAATGAGACACCATTTTTGCACAGGGGGCTTTTGCGCAAGAAGAAGTAGTCTACACTCCTGAAAATAAGCGGTAGAACAGCTCTTGTGCAAGAAGGAGCAGTGAAGACTGCTTCTTCTTGCGCAAAAGCTCCTTGCGCAAAAATGGCGGCTCACTAAGTATGCAAATGAGACGCAGAAATATTTACCTCCACGCCTCATTTGCATATGTTCTTGCGCAAAACTGGGCAGTGTAGACGTAGCCTATGGGTAGGCCAAAATGAATTGTCCTTTCCAAAAATGCTGATGAGAGATCCTAGACTAATCTCCATAGCAGCCTAAATTACCACTGATCCAGCAGGACTTCTACAAGCCCTCTTACAACCAGCTTCTTCCAGATGTATTAGCACTTCTGCTGAGCTGCTGCTACATCCTCTAACCATAATGAAGCAAATCAGTAGCAAAGCAGGAACGTGGTCTAGAGAGAATCACCCTGGGATGGACCCTCTATTCAATCCTATCTCTAACATCGATTCCATTTGTCATGACCTTGCCATCTTAGTTTCCACATCAGGGAAATGACAATGGTAATATTTTTGATAAGCCAGCCTTTTCAAAGATCTGCAAACATGCACAAATTCAGCAGAGTGTACTCAACATTCACTTCATGTGAATTGTGCCTTTAAAAATATTTTAATGTTTGTATCTATACACTGATGACAGCATAAGCAGATTCTCTATAGCAGCAGAGTAGTAGGCATAAAAAGCTGGGAAGTGTTCATTCTCTCTCCCTATCTTTATCTCCCCCTCCAAAAAACCCCCCACAAACACACAGTTTAATGTAAGAAAAACAATCATTTACTTTCTGAACATAAAAACACACATTCTCACAATGCGATGACAGATTCCAACAATAAATGCTGTTATCTCCTGAACAGTAGCATGAAAATCATTTCAATGTGTTTGGGTGTACTTCAAAAACAAAAAGCCTCGCTCAATAGAAAAACACTCAAAACAACACGGAGTGACTGGACAGTGAAACACACTGAAATAAGTGAGAAATCTTGAAGAACAAAAAGCACTGACCTCAATTATTAACAAAGAACAGACATCCCAAAATGTCTATTAATACAAATATTTTCAAAAACAGGAAGTGTCTGCAAATTAAACATTTAGCATGTAGAACAAGGCAAGCATAAATACTGCTTGCAATGCTATTCTGTTGAGGACAGATTCGCAGACCACAAAACATTCATTCTTCATTTTAAAAAGTAACCAGTAAAGATTTTTTTTTAATTTCTCCAAAAGCTTCTGATATTAGAATATATATTTGGAAGCTCTCCCAACATTTTTTTTACATCTATCACTTTATTTCAAAACATTGCTCATTGCTGTGCTAGCTGCAAGGTTAAAACCAGCTGGTGCCATGTTAAGTTTAACTACTTGAAAGATTTATTACAATAAATCTGGAATGTTAGTATAGAATTATATTTTAGACTTGGATTCTGAATTGGAAATGCCAATATATAACCAAAATCCATTTTCGGTGGAGGAGCTTTGACAAACCACAGGAAATCTGAGGTTAGAAATTGTCTGGAAAAGAGGCAGTAGAGAGGTTAGGGATGTAAGCGACTATCAGAGGCAGCAAGAGAGGGGAACAGAATCCGGTGTAGGGGGAGCCAGCTTAAAAGCCCCAGGCTCTTGTACATTTCAAAAGCAAGGCTCATGAGGCCAGCAGGGACTGCTTGAGTCCCCTGGTGGCCATGTTCCCTGTGGCACTTCGGCCTTTGAAATGTAGCAAAATCCAGCAGGGCTCTTGCTACATTTCAAAGGTAGAAGTGCCCTTATCCACTAATCAAATAGTGGGTGCAAATTACATCAATTATTTGATTAGTTGATTAATCTAAATTTAACATCTTTAAGAGAGGTATCCCAAATTTGAGAGTTAAGGGATGAATAACTAATTCTAAGGTTAAAAGGTCTCGACAAGAGGCAATGGTTACATGTTTTTGTCTTAGTTAACTGCACAGATCACAAACAAATGAGGACTTAGTGATGAGCCTGAACAAAGGTGTGTGTATCTGAGCACATGCCCACTCAGGAAATTTTGGTGTGTTTTTTTAATGTATAGGGATG